TGGCGGGAGAATGAAAAGTACGACGAATCAAAAAACGGAAGATGAAGACGGGAATCAGAAACGAGAGAATTAGAATGCATCCGGGGACAAAAATGGGGCAAGGCTTCGGGGGTGCGCATACGCTCATTCACAGTGCAGAGCCGTGTATACGTAGAAGAGAGGCCTTCCTCGACCCTCGAATAGAAAGGAAAAGAGAGAGAGAGAGAGAGAGAAGAGGAGAACTAAAGTAGCAGATAGAAAACGAAGAAAGACGGTGTATACGCTGACCCGTTCGTGGTTTCTTTATTGCTTTTTGCGATAAAACTCACGCTATAGACGAGACCTTAAAGCGGTCCTCCGTCCTCGCGCGTAAGAAAAATTATAATAGGGGTGACGTTCGTCAAGTAGAAAGAAAGAAAATTTGTTGGCCCTTAAATACTATAGAATTGTTTGCCATTGGCTGCATAAGGCAAGTACAATTACATCTGGAATTTTGGTATTTGCAGCAAATACATACTGGATATATCCGCCATATTTTGGTGAATATTAGATTCAATGTTTTGTTATTCAGTCAATTATAGGTAGCCATGATTTTTTATTATTAACTTTATTTTCGGGGAATCATTCGAATCATTTTTTAACTTTAAAAACGATACATTTTATTTTGATTTCTCTATTATTACATTTCCACTTTTGTTGCTCACTTTATGAATTCTTATTTATAATATAGAATTTCTATACCATAGAATTTTATAATATACTTCACTTTGTAATTTTAAAAACGATACGATATTTTTCCACCTTCATTTTTATTTTTCTGTTATTACTCAAGAGAGAGTAATTGGACGAATATTCTTTGTATTTCTGGAAAATTTCGAAACGTGAATAAAACACATGTGCAATAATAATATAATAATTTTCCAGCGCTCCATCTTTTAACAGGGTGTTTCGTAACTTGTGGGACCCACTTCGGGAGCTGATTGTACGCCTAAAAATAATGGAAAAAGTCATATAAATATATGTCCTATCTGTCTTCGTTTATGAGATATAATGAATTTTCTGTTTTGATTACTTTTACAAAAGATGGTCGAAATGACCACTTTGCATTTGAAAACAAGCCTGCACGCGTCTTGTCATTGATCTGGTTAGTCTCTCTATCATTCCTGGTGTTTCTCGAATTTGTCGGAAGCCTTGCTCTATTCTATTTCAGCATTTTCAATCGATGTTGCGTATACAATAGATTTTAAATATCCCTACAAGTGAAAATCTAATGGATTCAAATCCAGAGAACGAGCAAGCCATGCGATAGGACGTCCACGACGAATCCATTTATTTGCAAAGTGTTGATTTAAAAATTGCCTAGCCACTCGGCTAAAATGCGGCGGAGCTCCATCATGCATAAACCACACGAAGTCTAATATCGACTGGAACTTCCTCTAATATTTCGTGTAAACGCATGCTCAAAAAATCAACGTACTTTGTGCCTGTTAATTTCCCATCAAGAAAAAAAGGTTCAATTAAAAATTTATTAATTATCCCTGCCCATAAACTAAACTGGTGTTGATGTCTTGAATGCACAATAACATGTGGGTTTTCTTCATCCCAATTGATGACTATTATGAAAATTGAATATACCCTGGTAAAACTAGCTTACTAGAGTTTGCTCTGTTTATAAAATTCATTATATCTAATAAACGAAGACAGATAGAACATATATTTATATGACATTTTTTCATTATTTTTAGGCGTACAACCAGCTCCCGAAGTGGTTTCCACAAGTTACGAAAAACACCCTCTATATTCACTGAAATATTTCACATTTGTGTAAATATCCGCAGTGTAGTTATAATATTACGTCGGTGATTGAATTACGTTGGAAATCGAAAATCTCACGATATCGGGCGACTCGACAAATCGAAAGGTCTGTCAGTAAACTACGTTAGCTTTCTGTTCTTTCGTGCTCGTTCGAGGATACTATAACTCAAGATGCAAATCATCTCGGTGTTCGACTTCCCTTCTCTGGCCCTAATTCCTCCGTTCTGACGGCTAATTAATACGGTTCTCATTTGTCACGAGTTTGCGATAAACCATTTCGCGAATCCGCCATTGTTTCGCACGGGCGACGTTCCTGTCTCCACACACGCGTCCAGAGTTAATCATTAAAGTAGACGTTCAAAGTTGTTTCGGACGGGCCAATCGAAACTCGCGTAAACTTAACGAGGGCATTACCGACGATGGAATGGAATCCTTACGGGGACAATCGACCGCGCGGCTACATTTTCCACCGACGAGATATCGTAATTCGACCGACGACCGACCCGTTAATAAAGTAACAATAAACGTCAGCCTGGACCACACCGGAGAGAGCACACCGGCGTTCCGTGCAGTCCTGGGTTTGTCTTTGTCGCCGAGGCAATCGATAGAGCTTAATTGACTCGAACATGAGAGAGCATTCGTACGTTCGACGTTACATCGACTCCATGCGTCAGTGAACCGGGTCACGGTTTCGACTGTTCCGAAAATTTCGAGGGCCGTTAGTCGGGCCACGTTAAGAGAAACTCGATCGTGTGCGGTTACTCGCTACTGTTTCGTCCGCCTTTCGCCGCCAAAAAAGAGGGGAAAAAAATGCGCACATTTTCTCCCGGAGGGAAAATTCAATCGTTGCTATTAAAGAAAGCGTTCGAGGAATATACGACGAGTTGCACTCTCGCTCTTCCCTTGCAATTAACCTTGTTGTTAACCCTCTGTAAATTATTCTTAGAAATTTAATTGGCAATCGAAATTTATTGACGAGACTTTTCGACGGAAATGTTGATGATGCACCAGTTATCGGGGACTGAAACGTAGCGAAGATATGGGAATGAAAGACACAGTGGACTAAAGAGATATTGAAATTTAATATTTCTTAGAAATTTTCTACCACGTTATAAAGACTCTTGAAACTGCAGTGGGAAATTAGTTGATTTATTATTTTCTCAATAATAGCTTTGGATTTAAACCTTGTCAAAGAATCCGGCGAATTGAACTTTTACAACGCTTGTAATTAAATTTTACTATGTCTAGAAAAAATTTTCAATAATTCTCCAAAGGCTGTCATACTATTTCAAATCATAGTCACGTTCAACGATACTTCCAAGATTTATTATCCCTAGTTCTAGTTTCCTTTCCTTTCTCTACAGTTATTGGAAACGCCATAAAAATCATATACTATCATATTGCTACTTCTTTACTCCGTAAAATGTTACGTACTCATTTTTGTCAGACAGTATACTTGTATCACTCTTTCGACCCACGTTGTACGTATAGTGTGTGAAAAGAAGAACAGAAAACGTTTGTCTAAACGAAAGGATTGCGAATTCCTTTGACTATCCTCTGTTGTTTCTAATACGTATGCACATATCCCGAAGGAGTCTTCAAGAATTCACGCCGGGGATTGCGAGAGACAGGCAGAAAAGGCAGGGTGAAGATCGTCGGAAGGGGAAACGTTGTGAAGGATAGACAATTGGCTGCACAACAGATCGGATAAAGGGGTTACAGTGACGAGTGTTCCGCGATTTAAATCATCCAATATGCACCGCACCCCATTATACACGCTCCAAGTGACGAATTAAACCTCCAATTACGACTTCGATTAATGACCGCCGTTGTGGCCAGACAACAGCAGGATTTTTCAAACCGGACACCAAACCATCGAGCAGACGATCGTTTTTTTCTCTCTCTCTCTCTCTCTCTCTCTCCCTCTCTCTTTTTCCCCCACTGTTCCGAACGTTTATCGCGTTACTAGCCGCGTTTTCCGCTTGCAACCAGAGGAATGAAATAGCTCCCGGTGATTAATCATCTCGTTAAAAAACTTGCGGCCACTGGATTGAACACGCGCGCGAAGGACGGGCAACCAGCCCACCAGAGAGTGTCCTTTTGTATATTGTATCAGAGCTGGCCGAGAGGTACATACGTGCACGTTGACAAAGCGTTTCTGTTAGGTGTATTGTTGCGTGACCGGGCAACTCTGGCCGGGGGCCATCTTGAGCATTTTAATAGCATTAAGTGATTCGTCGAAACGATCCGAGTGTAATGAGGCGGAACTGCCGGTTTGAAATTGCTCGGGATTCGAACGGAGATATAAGTTTCAATGGGACGATTGTTTAACGTGTAATTTTCCCCTCTGCTTCTCCCTCTCTCTCTCTCTCTCTCTCTCTCTCTCTCTCTCTCTCTCTCTCTTTCGCTTCTCGGTTGATAGACGCGGTAATAGAATCACGCAATTTATAACCTTCCCAGCAGACTACAGAGGAGAGTAGACATCGCGATATTTTATGGGTTCGGCGACACGCGGCGATCGATAATAAATTACGCGATCCATCAATCGGTTATTTGCAGCGAAAGCGAAATAACGACGCGTATTGACCCGATTGCCAAGTTATTTTAAAGAGCCTCGGAACGGCGTCGAAACAGTGACGAGGTTTCCCGGACATCGTGAAATTTAAAGTCGCGAACAACATACCGCGTGTTCTGTCGGGAGCCGCGAGAGTCCCGTAGAAATTGACCGGTTCGCGACCTGCGCGTCTATCATTCATTCGCTGAGTCATAAATACTCGTTCCAGATATTTCTCGTGGAAAATTCAGTTAAAAATGCAAACAGAAGTCGGTGAAACCGCTGAAAATATCCACTCGCGGGCTTGTTTCCATCGAGTGGTTAAATACGGTGATTTTCGCGTAACGTTACGTTGATATTGACGCCGCGCACGATGCACGATATAACGACACACGACACGCTATATGGCGACACGATATCATTGAATTGGCAACGATAAAATGCAGTTAATGAAAGCTAATGCGTTCGAGCGTGCGAAAATTGTAAACAGGAAACACGCAAGAAGGAAAAGGGTGGGGGAGAAAAGAGGAGGAAACTCGGTTGAAAACCTCGGTGATTTCGAGTGGGAATGACGGACAATTTAATGAAGTTTCCAGTTTCTGTAGGGGGGGGGGCAGGAAGGGGAACGATAACTGCTGATGATAACACTCACCGTCAATCCAACGTCACGCTCCCAATAATGGTCCAGCCTTCTCTGTTCGAGCCCCGGTCGTCGTCTGCGCGCCGAGCGTCACATTTTTTGGTCGTCTGTTTTCGGTAATCGGCCCTTCGATCAGTCAATTTCGTCGGCTCGCGAAACCACAGCGGCTCATCAATTTCTATCGTGGACTATGTCGCCTGTGTAGGGAAAAAACAGAAGAAACTGAGACCTCATGACTGATCAAGAGTCTCAGAGAGAAGCATCGATGGTTTAATTGATATGATAACTTTCGAAATCGAAACAACGTGGAACGAAGGGAGGCGTAACGGCTAATGACAAGCAACTGGACTTATGCGTTCTACACGCGGAATAACCGAAAGGAAAAAACTGACCCGATAAAAATACAAATGACTATCGGCGGTGATTTATGCTCGGTCAGTCGCGTCGTTTCTAATTCGTAGCGCGCTGCCAATGCTGTTTTAAACCGGGCCATCGATCCTCCTTTCGTTCGACAGGCATTGTGATCTTTTACATTCAATCTCGAAATTGAAATACATACAACGAACGATAGGAATAATTGAAATAAATCCTTCAAAAGCCGCGGTAACTTATCTAGTCGACCGACCAGCCGAGATCGTTGGAAACGAACTTCCCCTTACGTCGATTAATTCTGCTTCGATCGACAACTGGCCAACCCCGGATAAATTGAAATAAATCCTTCAACGCGCGATAACTTATTAGACGCGATCAATCAGCCAAGATTGTTTAAATCCTAATGAACCACTTCTTACGTCGGTTGATCCTGCTTGATCAGTAACTGACTAACACTACTCTGAATGCCACTTGATTATCAAGAGACTGGAGACTAACTGATTGCTTCCGACTCTGATTGCAAACCGAATCCCAAATGCTGAATCCGTCCCTTAAGTTGAATTTTCATTAGCGAACGAGGATCGTGATCCTACCGCCATAAAAACATCGCACCTCGTATCTGGATGCATTTGCATCAATGTATTCGTACACAATAGAGAAGTATATTTCCATTTTTCTAGCATTGTCTCTGTGTTAAAAATCTGCAACATTTAGGAATAAAATTCTCTGGCATAAAGGACGCATTGCCGATTTTTAGTACTTTCATTAACAGGTTAAACCGCAGAACATGTTTGAAGCGATTTTGATCAAATGGAAGAAGAACGAAAATTTGCGATATCCCATCAAGGAAAACACCAGAGAGAAATCGTAAGAGTGGCATATGAAAGAAAGTCGTGCCCCTGTTAAAAGTATTAATTTTATTTCTTAAAGTACACTATAAAATATGAGTGTCCCTGTAAAAGATTCTCTCCAGTCGAAGTATATTCCTGATACACAGAGGTCGAGGCACGTACGTCAAACACGTACTTACGTATATCGCACATTGAGAACACTATCGTAAGAAGGAAATGCCTGCTACTACCGTCGAAAACGTCGATTCACAGTTTCCAAAGTCCGTTTGCACCGGAGACGCAGGGTCAAGTTTAGCGATTCCGGTCGGAGTTAGTGTTTCGTAAAGCGTGGACACGTTTCTACGCCAGCGATAGGCTAGATAGATATTCGGAAATCTCATTTCCACCCTCGGCTTCGATGCAAGCGAACGGGACTTGGCGGCCGCCATCGTCGGCAAGGGAAAATTTAATTCGAGTCTTAACCCAGTTCCGGAAGAACGCGCGCCGAGGAGGGCCCCGGAGAACGAGCGTCGCCGATACCCTTTTGCATCCGTCGCGAAGCCGTGTCGAGGTAGCTCGAGTCAACAAACCGAATGCACACACTGTGAGAGACGATGTGTGTACACCGGGGACTCTCCGACTGTCCGGACCTCCGGACAGACCGGAGACGTGAAAGCCATAGAGAGTCCACTTTTAGGCGAATTGAGGACGAGAAGAGAGAATTTCGTGGACGAAATTCCCAGACGACATTGGAACAATTAAACATCGGCCCCTCGGGCGAGAACGATGTTCCACGGTACCCGGGTACATATCGTACAATTAATACTATTGTACTTTGTACCCAGGCCTTCTTGTTTGAACTGCAGAATCTCTAATTATTTTCACGATCGTAGAAACGAGACCCGAGTCACGGGGAGAGGCAGTGCTCGCTTGTTCGGTGAACAAGCAACGTGATGGCCGGAAATGAGGATCCCAGATATTGTTAAGTTTACCTTAAAGGATGACGGTTACTCGACGTGGAAGATTGATTCCTAACGTTCGTACGCGTACGCGACGCAGCCCGAAAATTCAACGAGCGAAAACGGAACTTCGAATTTCTCAAATAAATTGCCCGTCGACCTTACGTGTTCCAGTCGTTGCAGACGTTTTCCCATCGTGCAGACCGCTGGTTTCTACCGGTTCGTTTCCAACGGACAGCTCTTTACGATCGGACACGTATCAATGGAACTAGCGAACGTCCGATTGAATCGTCGTAAAGCGTCTGACGTTTGGTACGTCTGACGGGTCGGTCGTGTCGGGTGATTCCACAAAGGAATTGACGATTTCATTGTTGATCCGCGTTGTAAAAACGTCCGAGTTGGGAAAAAACTATTGACACGTTCGTTTGATACATTTGCCCGCGTATCGCTGCGCCGAAAGCTGTTAATTAATACGCGGCTCGTATCAAATCGATAAAATTATTTCGCCAACAAGCCCGACGCATTTGATTTACATACTCGACTACTAATGCAGAATTTTCTCATTTGGAGCAAAATGGATACAATTTAGCGGGTCGGGTAATCTGATCGGCTCAGATCCGACCCGAAATATCGGGCAATCGCGCACTTCTCATTTCCGCGGCCAAAAATGTGCAAACGCGTAAACTATCACGAACAAGAATTTATATCGTACATTTCGCGAAACTAAATGTGGCTCGTTAGTATCGCTCGCTCGCCACTTATCGATATCATTCGTTTTTCATAATGGCGTGAAAATAAAATATTCTCGCGTGTCGGGTCGCGGTAACCAACCGCGCAACTGTTGACCTCTGCAACATGTCGGGCGGTCCGCGAACATGTTGCTGCCATTTTTCGGATAATCCAAACACGTTCGGTATTTCCGAACTCATCGCGCGCGTAAAACATGCGAAATTGCGCGCCGTTTCGCTGATCGTCGCCGTGTCGATCGGCGTGTCGATAACCCGCTACACGATCCGCTACACCGGCCGAACGCCGCGACTCTTTTGTAAATTCTAATAAACCTCGTTCCGCTCTTTGTTGCGGCGGCGTTCCTTCGATAACTCTCTCTCTCTCTCTCTCTCTCTCTCTCTCTCTCTCTCTCTCTCTCTCTCTCTCTCTCTCTCTCTCTCTCGGTCATTTTATATTTAAAGTCATTTTATATTCACGAAAGCGGTAGCTGGGCGCTCCGAAGGAAATTTACGGCACGAGTGGTCCACGTTGCCGAGAGACGGCTAAAGGATAATTTTTCCACTTTCCTGCGCGTATTGAACGAGCATTTAACTTCCGAATTCTTTCCCCCACAAGTACGAAATAACATGGCCGTTGCGTTACAGGTTACTATTAAGACGTTCAGCGATTCTCTTCTCTCACCGGCAAAGGGGAAATTCGCTCGATGACGTTCCCCTGACGCGACAGATCAAAAGAGTTGGCGCAAGTTTTTCAAATCCTCTTTGGGAGCCGCCGACATTCTGCCTGCAAGTGCATCGCGGTCCCGCCGGTAAGACGTTCCACCTATTTCGAAATTCCCTTTGATATCTGAAATGTCAGGGCGCGCCAAGGACAACCAGTAATGAATCGAGCGACCATCGCTGTTTGAATGGCTGGCACAAAAAGGTTCCTCCGCCACCGCCGCCGTTGCAGTTGGTTTCAACTTTATCACCGGTGTGGCTCGAATTGCCTATCGACCGTTGCTGGCAAAAAGGAAAACGAAAAAAGAAAAAAACGAGCGCGGAACGGAGGAACAGTGGGGAAAAAATAACCTCGGGTAGAAATCCTATAGAACAACAAAACGACGCGCAAACTCGAAATTAAATTAACTTTCTGTCAAAGTGGAAACTCTGTTAAATCGTTTTTCTATTAAAGTTCACGGCTTAAACGATTTCAATGGCGCTGCAAATGGAAAGAATACAGTGAAACACCGCCGACGTAACGTAATAAAGCCGGTAACGCGAAACGATATCGAATCTTACAGATTTTCCGCTACTTAAACCCGTTTATATTAATTGCGAGACCTCTTATTGTTGGCAGAAAACGCATCAGTCAGCGCGGCTTTGTTTCCATCGTACGACGCAACTTCAAAACGGATTTCTCGATAATGATGAATTATTGCTGGGGGGGGGGGATGTGCGATCCAAAATGATCAGCGAAGATTACAAGAGTATAGAAATAAAATATTGTATTTTACAGCGATAGAACAGAGGATTTACCCAAGAAATTGCCTCGATCTTGGGATTAAATTTGCTATAGAGTGTAATTGAACATCAGTCACAGCAAACGACTCCAAACTGAGACGAAATTGCAGATTTAAAAAATTATCGTTATTTGTTAATAATTCAACGTGAGCTTAGATTCACAGTGAACATCTAAATTAATATTTATCCATTTCTCGAAACATGTACTTGAACTTCTCAGAAATTAATTATCAGATCGGCTTGAAAAATTTAATGTCTCGACGCAAGTAATCGAAAGATAAACGGAAGATTCAGTTCCAGAATCAAAAAAAAAAAGGCAGAAACGAGACGAGCAAATTCCCTGTTATGCCTTCGACAGAGTGTGAAATGACTCGATGAAACAATAACGCGTAAACGCAGCTTAGAAAGTAATAAAGGTGTAGTGACTCAGCCTCCAACATCGACCGAGGATTAAATCATAGGCGTCTCTCTCTCTGCCGGAGCAAAACACGGATTGCAATCACGTGCGCAAAAACCTTACGTTCTCCTTAATCCACAAATATTAAGAGCAACCGAGCGAACGAAATCGGTTTGACGATTTTAAAGGCAGGGGATTTCACGTGCGACTAGACGCCAACGCCTAATCCCTCGCAATAGCGTGTTTAATTCGGTGTGAACGTGGAAACAATAACGACTTCTCGTCTCGTGAAACGTCTCAACGCCTCGGAACATCAACATCTCTCCTTTCCCTTTCTCTTTACGGCTTCCCTCCTCGTCTTTCTTTCTCGCAGGAAGCTTCACAGTTTCGCTTTCGCGGTGAGAGAAA